CGGACTGAAACTGGGAGCTGGTTCCACAGAAGAGGATCTTGATAACTGAAGGCTCTGGTTCCCATCTTACTTTCTGAGACTAGTTTAGGAACCTCATTTATTCTTTATTCTTTATTATGACCAACACAGCGCTGGATACAGTCAACACATAAACTGCTCTTTCATGGAAACCAGACCTCGTTGTTATGAGGAGATGAGATGAGTTGATATGAACAACATATCTTTGTATTGCTATTGATTTGTGAAAACCCCCAAATCACAGTAGAATGTTATAACTTGTAACTTTAAGCCTTGTAAAAATGTAATATAGTCATTGTGACAACAGCTGCAGCTGTTTTGTAGATCTTTGTCTAGTTCGTTATGACTTAAATCAGATCATATATTCCACTACATTAAACTATCCTGGATACTTGAATACTTAAACACGCAACATAACTTCCTTACTGCGCTTTGATTTTCACATAGTTTTATTGGACTTCTGTTAATCCATCCAACAGACTGATGTCCTTCAGTTCCATTGTTGGAGGACACCTTCATACTCATCTGCTTTGAACCCTTAAGCCAAATGAAACTGTGCAGTGGTGGTTATAATTTGGGGATTCGCGAGGGATCAGCCCTGTTGTTTTGGGCAAAATGCCCCTCTAAGAGACTGAAGTGTGATCAGAGGGGAGGCTGCCAGACTGGAGATGATGCATCCATTTAGCAGGAAGGACTGACTCCTCCCACCAGGCGGAGAGCAGGGGGAGGAGTGAAAGGCTTTCAGTTGGGCTTTTAACTTTAATGCAACTTGGGTCATCAGGTTGTTGTGACGACTGAACTAAAGTGTGAAAGGGTAATGTCTCTGGGCGGTGTTCATTTTGTCAGCTATCTTTAGATTTAACCTTCTGATCAAAGGTCCATGTCAGATCTAGCCCTTCATTCAACCTCTTCCTTTATATTTAGTTGAGTTTTAGTAGATAAAGATACAGATTATGCTGATCCTCTTCCTGCTCCCCACACATACATTGTAAACTGTAACTTTATTAACAAAGGTCCAAGTGATCCTGGAGAAGCAGCGGAGGTTCAGAGTCCACCATCACAAACAATGTGTCCTCTGCACATTATCATGTTCTCTCTTGATCGTAGAAATACAAACCAAGAAAACATTGACTCATGAGACCATTCACTAAAAACATGCTGTATTCCTTTAACTGGCACTATCAGTAATAATAAGGGTGTGAGGACACCAGCTCCTGTACCGACTCAGCCAATCACCCCGTGGTCTGTACCTGTCTGCTGACTGATCAGGCCATGGTGTGTGTGTGTGTGTGTGTGTGTGTGTGTGTGTGTGTGTGTGTGTGTGTGTGTGTGTGTGGTCATGTCATGTCAGGAAGATGACGTTGTCCTCACACAGAAGAAATCTGAAACTGAATGCAAGTAAAAAAAGTAACAAAGTAAAACAAACTCCAAACACTTCACTCTCGTTTATGAGTGTGTGTTACACATTTCAGGACTCTCAGTCAACCTTTTAAAGCTGTCGTTACAGTACATCCAATTAATACAGCTCAGCATTAGCTCAATGTTGCCAATGGTACAATTCTGTAATTGATTATTTGAAAAATAAAAAACAGAAGAATTGATGATCCCACAAGTGTCCTGCTCCACAGAAAGCTCGACCATTTATGGGATTGAGTAACGTAAATGCTTTATTAGTGGGGAAGCTGCTGTACTATGACTTTCCAATAGTTACTCTTCTACTAGCATAATGTTGCTGTTCCTGCTCTAAACGTGCACATTAGGTTAATGTCTGAGTGCATCCATGACTTTTGTGTCACAGATGGGTATAGGTCTTAATCAGTGAACAGTAGAAACCATCCTACAGATCCTCTGTGTACCTCCACAGACACACCTGCATCAAGAGGGTCTTTGATTGATTATACATGGTCAGGGGTTGGCACTGGTCTATATTTGTTCCCCCTCAGTGGTCTCTGAACCCTCTGAGTCATGATCAGCCCTCTTAATAATTAATCTTCATATGAGTGCTCGGTGATGCAGCAGAGTGTGAGCTCCTTTGTGTTACAGAGGTGGCTGAATGTGGGTGAATGGTTCACTAAAGAGCCAGCGGTGTGTCCTGCAGAGTGGACATGGACTTCAGCTTGTGTAGAATCATTTCATGCTGCTATAGGCCCCAACCATGATCATCTGGTCCTGATGCAAAACCATGAAACTCTGAATGCAACACTGCTGTTGTTCAGTGCTGTGTACATCAAAGCCATAACCTGATAATCTGACTGAACTACCATTCTGTTTTCAGTCAGTCAGCCTGACATCCTGCTGATGTTCCAGGTTGTTTTAACCCAATCCATCAGCTGCACGTGTTGTATCTGTACTGTTGACATCGTCTTCAGTTGTCGCAGAGGAACTGTCATTTCTATAATTCAACTTATGAAAGCTTGTACGTATGTACATTTCATTTGTTTGTTGCTCTTCTTTTGAGTGCAAACAGATTCATTGACTTTTTGTATTCACCAGTTTCTCAGACTTAGATTTTTGTCTTTGGGACAAATGACATTCACGAGTTGTACAAACCTGCTGAATGAGTCAGGGACAGACTGTCTTTCTCCACAGCTCTCAACTCTGTAGACTCTGTAAGCCTGAAACATAGCTTTCATTGTCATTCCAAATGTTCTGAATGGTGTCACTGGTGTGCAACACAGTTGACACCATTGACAGTTGACACCATCTGTAGATGATGAATAATGATGATTCTACAATGAGTAGAGACTTTTGTGTGTGTGTGTGTGTGTGTGTGTGTGTGTGTGTGTGTGTGTGTG